CGCCCCACCCCCGCTAACAAGCCCTGCCCACGGCGCCCCGCCTCCGCCAGCAAGCCCCGCCCACGACGCCCCGCCTCCACCAACAAGCTCCACCCATAAGGCCCCACCTCCGTACCCACCAGCCAGCTCCGCCCATGGCGCCCCGCCCCTGCTAACAAGCTCTGCCCATAAGGCCCCGCCTCCACCAACAAGTTCCGCCCACGGCGCCCCGCCTCTGTACCCACCGACAAGCTCCGCCCATAATGCCCCACCTCTGCACCTACCAGCAAGCCCCACCCACAATGCCCCGCCTCCACCAACAAGCCCTGCCCACAATGCCCCACCTCCACACCCACCAAACTCCGCCTGTAATGCTCCACCTCCACCCACCAGCAAGCTCCGCCCACAACGCCCTGCCTCAAACGACAAGCTCCGCCCACAATGCCCCACCTCCGCACCCACCAGCAAGGTCGCCCCACACGCTCCGCCTCCTCTGCTGCGCAGGGGCCCCGTCCAGTGCTAGCCCAGTGCGTGTGGGCTTAGGGGGCCACCAGCCCAGAGGTGCCGGTCGCCCTAAGACTGCTTGTTGGCAGGGCCGTGGATCGAACCCAGGGCCTCGCCCAGGCTAGCCAGGCAAGTGCTCTACCCACTGCGCTGCATTGCCAGCCCTCCTTTCTTGAAGAGGAGCTCGGTCAGCAGATTTGTCCTATCAAATGACAGTCGTGGGACTTGAACTCGGGGCCTGGGCGCTGTCCCTGAGCTCTTTGGCTCAAGGCGAGCGCTCTACCATTTGAGCCATGGCACCACTTCCAGCTCTTTGGTGGTTCACTGGAGAGAAGAGTTTCGTGAACTTTGCTGCCCAGGCTGACTTGAAACCAACATCCTCACATCTCAGCCTCCTGAGTAGCTAAGATTAGAGTAGCATGCGCCAGGCTCAAATGTTCCTTAAAGTGTGGCTGCCTGTTTGAAGTCCCCAGGAGACTACAAACTACACAGGCTACTGAGTTTGGAGTCCTCCCAAAGAACCCTGGGGAGGCCTGAGCCTCCTCAGCAGTCCTCCTGGCCAGTGCTCCTGTTCCGGACTGTCACGGACAGCCCTGAGCTATCCATACAAAAGGCAGGGTGAGCTGCGCACCAGGGGCTCACGCCTGTCATCCTAGCTACTCAGAGACGGAGGATCACAGTACGACGAAGCCACCCCGGGCAGGAAAGTCCTGGAGACTCTGATCTCCAATGAACCACCAGAAAACCGGAAGTGGAGCTGTGGCATAAAGGGAGGGTAGTAGGCAGGGTGGAGAAGGGTTAAAAGCTACCTAGACAAAAAGAGAAGTGGACACCGAGTCAGAACTCCCTTCATGGCTTTTTCTGTGGTGGATGGGGGGAGCTGGCCCCTCTTCCCCCCAGTGAAGCAGGCTGGTTGGTGTGGGTTAGAGAGAGCCTAGACTTTCACACAAAGGCAGGCTCGGCCCGTGTGTGGCTGAATCCTGTCGGGATGCAGAGACCCTGCACACAGAGCTGTGTACAGTAAGGATCTATCTAGGGCCAAGTGAAAGATAGCCTGGTGCGGACCAAACAGCAAGCGAGGAGGCCGGAGACATACATGCCAAGATGGCAGGACTTCAAGGATGGTCTGATCGCGAGTTCTGCCCTCGGCCAGCCAGCACCCTGAGCCACTCGCCAACCTGACTGAGTTCGAGGCCACAGCGGGGCTGGAAGCGGCCAGGGCTGGTACACCTCCCCATGGCCCGGGTTCACCCGGAGCTGTCCGACCCGGCCCTCGGCAGATGGTGCTCAGAACAGACTTGCTGAGGAAAGAATGCACATCAGGGGGCCGGGCCCTGAATGTGCCCAGCGGCTGTGCGGCCTGGCCTCCGAGGCCCGCACAGTCCTGGGCGCCTCCTGGGCCTTTACAGCTGCGCGACCACGCCTGTCCACCAGGGGGCAGCCTTCACCCTGGCAGCAGCAAGGCCCCAGGAGGCCCAGCCCTGCGGGCTCTGCCCCCCCACCACATCCTGATCTCTCCAACTGTCACCCCAGCCTGGAAGAAGAAGCCGCCCGACGGACAGGGGCGGAAGGGCAGACACCAGCCCCGGGAGAGGCTGTGACTTGTGACATCACAGCCATCCCCACCAGAGGAGGAAAAGGAATCAAGCCGGGCAAGTCACTTGCCCAAGGTCTTGCAGCTGAGATCTAAGAATACTTCCAACAACAGCGCCGTGAGCGCATGCCTGTAATCCACCTCCTTGGAAAGCGAAGGGCTAAGAATCAGGGTTCAAAGCCAGATAGAACAAAAAAAAAAAAAAAAGCGCGGAAGGCGTAGCTCCAATGAACCAGCAAAAAGCCGGAAGTGGAGCTCTGGTTCAACTGGTAGAGCAAAAGAGAGCTCAG